GTTTAGGGTTTAGGGGTTCTTTGGGTTCAAGTGATATAGGGGGCCTGGATGGTGGCCTGAAGAATTACCAAACTAGTCCTTAGAGCTCATGATTTCAACCTGTATGTACTATAGAATGTACCCAGAAACCCTACTTCAAAGACTAAGGCCCATCGTCAACTTGGTTTCACGGCTTAGGGTTTCCTAGTTCGGGTTGAGGGCTCATAGGGGTCTCGGGCTCACAGTTTGGGGCGTAGGCTTTAGTAGCCCAGCTTACATAATCATACAGAAATTACATAAAGGTACACATCAACTCAACTCATGGTATTTGCTTATTTTGTTAAGCTGAGCTCTCCAACAAGAGCTCAGAGGTTCTGACATAAAGGAGGCAAGGGACCTCCTTCTGTCAAGTCGTAGTATATTGCACGACCACCCCCCCCCAAGCCCCCAGCACTTCTAAAAACTTTGCTTTTGGGTTCATGCCGCTTCTCTTGGTTTCTGCATTGGTATTGGCCCATGCGGGTCCGGCCCAAGGAGTCTACACACCGCAAGGACCCGATCCCTTGAAGGGACAACCCTAAACCCTAAACCCTAAACCCTAAACCCTAAACCCTAAACCAAGCCCACCACAACGACTCAAGCGCAGAACCAGGGATCGTGGGGACGTCGGACCTGGAACCAATCTTCTACTGTAGCCTTGCACCCGGAAGCCCTCTATGTCTTCCCCAAAAGCCAGAGCCACTTAAGCTTAATCCACAACTCATGAACCCGAAAGAGGATCAGACAAAAAAAGTAAGAGACCCTACAATGTTACAACAGTGACCCTAAATGGTAGGATGTTACTAAACCCTAAACCCTAAACGCCAAACCCTAAACCCCTAAACCCTTATTACTATAAATCACGGCCCCTGAAGTCAAAGAAGACATCCAGAGTTGCAGAGACCCCCCCAGTCTTTCGCCACAGGCTGCCTAAAAGCCTAAGGCCCTGCCAGCTCTTAGCAGCTGGTAACCCAGCCCTTTGAGTAAGTTTAGGGTTTAGGGTTTCTTATGGCTCTGACCCTAAACCCTAAACCCTAAACCTGACTGAAGCCTTGCTAAGAGAGGCAAATGTCCCTGGACTTCACCATAGGGAAGCTCCTGGCGCGAGAGCGCGAAGCCCGCTTTGTGCCGGCAGCCGAGCGGCCGTGAGAGTCTTGTGACTTGTGACACTTGCCTGGGTGGCACTGGCACTTTGGGAAACTTTAAGTTTGCCTTATGGTCCTTTTAGAGGTACCCTGTAAGTACTTTACAGGGCCCGAAAACTACAACCCAGTTGTGGCTTTGGGGTGTAGGGGTTCAGGGCTCCAGGCAGGGTTGGGTTGTTTCAGGGTTCCGTTTTTTGTTCGGGTTTACCCCTTGAAGGATTTTGGGGTTTTGGCCTAGTGGCCCGAGTGCCGGTGTTGGCACTGGTGCTGCTTCGGTTGGTCCTGGCCGCACTGCATTTACAATGTTGTTGCTGCTGCGGATGCTGTGGCCGCTTTTGTTGATGCTCGAGCTTCTGCTTCTATGCCATGCGTTTCTTATTGTCTTGTTTGTTCCTGGCAGCGGAGGGTTTTTCCATAGGCTGCGTTGGAATGACAGATGATGGCGGATGCTCCCTGCAAGGCACAGGCCACAGACGACGTCACAGGACGCATGTCCACCTTTCGGTGCCAACGGACAAGTCTCGGCACCATCCGTCTCGAAACGGCAATCTTCTGCGGATACGTAGCTTGTCGGTTCCCCGCCACAGGCGCCCCCGTCCTCCTGCCTGCCTCGACACCAGCAAATAGCCAACTTCCCTTGGTTGGTGGGACTGGAACTTTGGCGAAAGTAGGACCATGTGGGAGCCATGTGGCAGCCTGCCCCTTCAGCAAGAAGGTGATATCTTTACAGAGCTATTCCCCGAAATTGGCAACCCTGAGCCCTAAACCCTTGTGCGCGCGCAGCGTTTCCTTCAGCATCATTCCGTCCAGATTGCGTTAGTCTCGTAGTCTCGTGGCCCAGAGCGCTTTGCGGGGCCTCCGTCGTGCAGATACTCTTGTTCCAGCAAGCGCTTTGCAAAGGTTTCTTTTGGCAGGTGGTCTTCCTCCTTTTCATCTCCAGTCTCATGTAAACCTGCCTGCTTTCTTGACGTGCATGACTTTTTGGCAGTTCGCCTGCATGCGTTCCGAGAACTAATATGGTTGGGTACACCTCAGAGAATCTCAACATTCGCCCAGGTTCTCAGCAGAAGCACAGCCTTCCCCTCGATGGGTCGTTGAGGGTGATCGTGGGATTGGTTTGGCAGGTGGGTGATGCAGTCCAGGAAGATTGGGGGATATGAGGCTGCGTTTCATCGGCTATGACGCTAAGGCTATTAGTTTGAGCAGAGCCGATCGGCTTGGTGCAAGGGGGAGTCACTGAAGCAGAGAGAGCTTCGACATGATGCATGCGACAACTTGTCTGTATGATCCTTAGCATGGTCAGGCCAAGCTCGGAAGACGCCTTTGACAGCCAAAGGCCCGAACCCCACAGTCCTCAGTGAATGTCTGCCACAGACACCTTCCTCCCAACCAAGCCCGCAGGCCCTAAAACCCGAAAGCCTTAAAGCCATAAACTCCACCCTGCACAGCTGAGGCAAAGCCTCCTCGAGGGGCGTCCCTTGCCCTCCAGGTGCGACGTCGCGTACCAGCAGCATGCAGCTGAGAATTTGTTTTTCAAAGTTCCCAGTGCGTTTCTGAAAGCTTGTGATTATTATTCCTGTGGCCATGACCGGCGTGACATGTGAAACCGTCCCAGCCGTTGGATAGTGAGCAGAAGGACCATGGCGAAGATGAAGATGCTGTTGTAAATGGTGATGAAATCGAAGATAATACAGTTGCTGGTTTGTGAGTGCTGGTGATGAACATGACCACGCTTTAAATTCGAGGACCTTGGTCACGACCAGGCATGTGGTGACTACTTGGACGATACAGAAATATCAATGATGCCATCAGTGATGCTGGACGCGACAATGATGACAGTGAAGTTGTGTAGAATGAGGGGGTAGCATCATGAGTCAGTGTGCCATCATGCCCACTCCGCTCGATGGACTTCTAGTAACCCTATTCGATTGCGAAGGCCCTTGTCTTAAGTTACCCAGGTAACCCTTGAAGTAACCCTGAAGGTCACACGGCTGTAACAACTAGACCCTCTTGCATGAAGTAGCCATGTAGTGACCCTTACAGCAAGCCTTGTGGCCTTGCTGTATCCCGTCCAGTATCCCTTACAGCTAGCAATCCTTCTACTCTCCTAGCTGAGTTTCTCCCGCTTTCTCTGCCAGGGCGCCGCCAGAGGCGGCATGGGAGGCAGATGCCGCGCCGACCGCCGAGGGAGGCAAACAAGGCCCGAAGCAATCAGGGTGTGCAGTTAAGGGGTTTAGGGTATTTGAGGAATCTTTAAGAATGAATGAAGAATGCACCCTCGGAAGGGGGGTTACTAATAGGAGCCGGGTGTTGGGTAGATCGGATTGTAGTTATGGAGACTACAACAGAATATATTCGTGTTAAGTGTTCAGACTGTTTTTTTTTCACCGGCAGTCTATCAACCCGAAGGCGGGAGGGCAATCGAGGGCACAAGAAACAGGTAGAATCAGATAGTTCCCGTCTTGAGCATGCCGCTTTCCCATGTTCATGCTCCCTAGCCTAAATCCTGGAAAGCACTGTCGGGGTATCCTAAAGGTGCTGAGAAGCCAAAGTCCAGATTTTGCAGCGGTAACGCCATTATAAGATTTCTGCAGGGCTCCTGAAGAAGCGCAAGAGCCTTTTAACACCTGTTGTTGTTCTTGGTGGCCAAATGGTTATGAAAGTACTCATATGAGACCCTTGTAACACCTGGTTCAATGAGCCTGTGTAGTGACTCCCAAGTGCTAGATTCCTACACAAAGCCTTAGAAAGGAGAACCCAAAACTCCAAAACACTAAGGCCCTTAACCCTAGGGACGCCCTCAGCGCCAAACCCTAAACCCTAACCTTCAGCCCTTCAAGAGACAACCCGCAGCACTAAGCCCCTAACCCCCAGACCATAAACCCTGACCTTAAGGAACCACCCGAAAGAAGCCCCTAACCCCTAGACCCTAAACCCTAAACTCCTAAACCCTGAGCTTAAGGAACCACCCGAAAAACCTTAAACCCTAAACCTGAACCCTAAACCCTAAACCCTAAACCCTAAACCCCTAAACCCCTAAACCCTAAGCCAAAAAAAGGGTGTCAGCCAGGAGAGGCCGTGGTCTTGCCGCCGAGCCCCAAAGCGAGCGAGGAAGGCAAGACTAGGGGGCCAGGGCAGTGGGCTACTTTAGGGTTCAGGGTTTAAGGTCCAGGGTTTAGGGTTCAAGTTTAGGGTTCAGGGTTCAGGGTCCAGGGTTTAGGGTTCAGGGTTCAGGGTTTAGGGTTTAGGTTCAGGGTTTAGGGTTTCGGTGGGTTTTAGAGTCCAGGGTGCAGGGTTTTGGGCATTGATGGTGTTAGGATGCTCCCTTTGGTGCTTCGGGGGTGCTGTCGTATTATCCCCTGGCTTTGGTAAAACAAGCGGAGCTCGAGCTGAAAGCGGCCAAGCCATTCAAGCCTCCGATCGCGAGGGTTTAGGGTTTAGGGTTTTGGGTTTAGGGTTTAGGGAATTACTGAACATCATGCCCTTGTCCGAAAACCCGACAACAACTCAAAGTCACAAATCCCCAACTGCCAGCCCCAGCGTCCGTCCGAAAGATGTTAAATTAGAGAGCGCAGTGCTGATATATCTTACTTAATGGCTGGAAAATATCTTGCATCATAATATCAAGCCCCAAAGGGCTGTAGGTATATCCTTTAATATAGGGCTCTCTGAGAAGTTCAAGCCTTGCTAGGCGAGCTACCGCAGCGGCGAAAGAGGAGTCGGTGCCCAAGGGAACGCGACCTCGGGAGCTACAGTTGGGGAGTAAGATAGTGGGCCTTTTCTTACCCAACACAGGCGCAGAGATTAGGGTTTAGGGTTTACAGTGCTGAATATTGGAATATACTGTTCCTTAGCCATAGTACAATTACATCCCTGAGAGCCTGATGAAAGTGTTAAGGATGGGAGTGAGATCGGGGCCAGAATATGAAGCATCACTCTTCCTTGGGCTTCCTTATGGTAGTTAATTTATAACATCTACTCCAAGTTTCTATTCTAATGATTAAGTTCCCTAAATTACGGTGTGGGACTTCAGGGAGGCGGAGGCTCAGGGTGTTTTAGGGTTTAGGGTTTAGGGTTTAGGGTTTAGGGTTTAGGGTTTAGGGTTTAGATCTTTTGGAACCGGGAAGAGAAGCCGCGGAGTGTCGGGATGATCTGGCTGCCGCATCTTGCGGTCAGAATTTTTCGATTCTACCTCCACACCCTACAACCCTTCTATTCCTACCTCCTCTCTCTTTTTAAAGCCCTTCTATTCCTCTGCCTATACTCTCTCTCCTTCTCCCCTTCCTAAAACCCTTGTATATTCCTACACCCTCTCTCCTTCTCCCCTTCCCAAAACCCTTGTATTCCTACACCCTCTCTCCTTTTCCCCTTCCTCCTCTCCCCGCCGCACGGCGCAAGGCTATTGGCAACCAAAGCCGAAGCCAAGAGCCAGGCCAGGGATTTGCCTCTGAAAGTGCTGCTTACACTAGTGCTTCGCTACGGTAGGTTTGAGGGTTTGGGGTTTAGGGCTTGGGGTTTAGGGTTTAGGGTTTAGGGTTTAGGGCTTGGGGTTTAGGGTTTGGGGTTTAGAGTTTAGGGGCAAATGGAGTGCTGAATCAGGATTCTATGTTATGTGATGCTCGGAAGTATTCCACTCTTTGTAGTATGTCATACGACCACCAGAAAACTGCGGCTCCGAGATCTACCCTTTTGAGGCTTGAGAAAGGGCAGGCCCGAGATCCAAACCCTACCTGAACTCTACCCAACCTACTTGGAGGATCATGGGACTTAGTAAGTAAGGGAGTTATAAGTCCCCTAATTGGGGTTATAAGTATAGTTACCTTAGTTATAACCCTTTTTACTAAGTCCCATGATCCTTTAAGTACTCCACACGGTCTGCATTCTGACTTGACATCGAATTCCTGAGACAGATCTTGAAGACAGGAGCTGGTAGGAGTAGATTTTTGGGGAGGATCGCGACGTCCCAACTTTCTGGCTTAAATTTAG